TTGCTGAACTCCCATCTACGGGAGATGTAATTACCCTCAGCATAATTTAGAGTTCTTCTGGTGTATGACTAAATACTGGCGGTAAAACATAAACAGTAATCATACCTTGACATCAATTTGGTTTTCTTGTTGTCGAAACTGACCAGCTATTCACACTCCATTCCGAGCTCCTTAAGAAACTCACTGAAAGTTGTTTGAGAAGCAAAACTAGTGTTAGGTGAAGTAAAAACTATTGTTTACTGTAATATTTAATTTAATAATGAAAAACAAGGTTGATTGACACGCAATGTCTCGATACTCTATGTTTTAATTTATTAGTAATATAGATAATAATTAATTTAATTTGGACGACGCCAAAACAACATTCACTGACATATGGTCACTCCCATGTATAAATGTATATATATAACATATCTGGCAAATGTAAGTAAACTGTCATAAACGATTACATACAAGAGGATGGAAGAAAGCATTTGGTTCCTGTGGCTCTGTTGCCTGTGTCTTACATTTGGTAAGTGTAATTAAGAATAAGATTTCATCAGTCACATTCTTTTTGCTGACTTGTGTTTTTAACAATACAAATGCATACTGGTCAATTACATTCGTGAAGTGTGAAACTCTATACATAGGCCTAGACTATTTATTTTTCCAATCGAAAGATTTTAAGAGTAAATCATTTCTGTTATTGACTATTGAGCATATTTCTAATATTCTCAGTACTACCTTTATATGATGCACTGGCTTAAAATATTGAAGTTCACATATATAAACTGTCGATTTCAGCTGGCAGAATAGGTTGTTGAGGCCTAATTGGTTTTACTTTGTTATTCCATATTACATTAGTTTGAAATAACATTATTTTTATTCAAAGTAATTGATGCTATTTTCTTTGATACAATATTTGATTTCATATTCTTGATCTTAATTATTAATATATTTAATGAGCGAATGATGAATAATGTAAGATGTTCTGTAGTTGAAGTAAACTGTTAACAAATTGTATATTTTATTTCAATTTCAGAATATACATCATCTTTTACAACAGGTATGAACTAATACCAAAGACAATAAATAGCAGAAGATAGAGGAGCTTGCCAATATATTGGAACAACCGTTCGAAATGCATTGTGGGTACACGAAGAGCAATATCACCCCGTCCGCACGGCGGCGCTTTTTATCAATGATAAAGGCACCGCTTGACGTTCGTTTGTTTTCTGTCGTTTCTCCACTTAGTCAAATGGTCAAATTTTACCCCGCTCGCGTGAGGGCAGATGTTCCATCAATGTTAATACAAATAATGTATTTTTGTAATGCAAATACGCGAAACAGTTCATTCTTCTGCTATTCAAGTTCTTTGCTAATACCTCATAACATTATTGTCGAAGTTACCACTTTTAGGCACAGCTGTTACTACTACTACTGCTTCTGTGTTGATTCTACTACTTGCTACTACTAATACTATTATGCTACTAGGCCTACTACTACTACCAGTGGTGGCGCCAGGACCTGCCCGACAGAGGGGATAAAGGCCCCGACGGGTGGGGGGGGGCGGGCTAGTGAAGCGAATCGAGTCTCACTTGGCTGGGGCCCCCAGTGTGGGCCACGGATATTTGATGAATTATGGCGAATTTTTATTACTTCATGTAGGCTATGCTTTCTAATGTTAAAATCAGCTTCCAAAACCAAAACATTTTGAATAAAGCAAGAAACAAAGAGTATGCAATGTAACCATCTAATTTATTTTCAATTCAAAGCATATTGGGGGTGTATACTTCCCCAGCCCCCTCTGGCGCCACCACTGACTACTACTACTACTACTACTACTACTACTACTACTACTACTAATAATAATAATAATAATAATAATAATAATAATAATAATAATAATAATAATAATAATAATAATAATAATAATAATAATAATAATAATAATAATAATAATTCTTGAAGTTACTTATATTATGTTCTATTTTCAAGAAACGCCTTCTCAAACCACAGAAACATTCATCTGCGGTAATGGATCACTAATCACATCTCCTGGCTACCCAAGTGATTATGGTAACAACATAGACATAACATGGACGTTTAGTACCCACCCAGGCAGCTTACTCTCTATTCAATTCTACGATTTTTATCTCGAGGACTCCACCGATTATGTCTATATTAGCAGCGACGGAAAACAAATTGCCGCTTACACTGGTTCCAATTTGCCGCCAATAACGGTGTCCTTAATTAACAAACTGACGATTGTCTTTACAAGTGATGGCGGTGTATCTTACAGAGGGTTTCAAGCTCAAATATCTATGTATCCGGAAACCTCAGGTAGGTAGGCTCACTTACTTACGGTAGGTTCTAAACACTGATTCTAACAATTAATCTATACTCAAGCCCCGCCCATTGGAGAGTGTTGCTAAGATCATAAACAATTGCGTCAGTGTACACAAATACGTGCGTTTGTGAAAAAAATAAAACACGTCTTTGTTGGACACGCGCTTATTCATGGCCTTGTTCTGATTGGTCAGTTGTTAAGTGCCACTCACACTCTGGAAAGGTCCATTAAAATAGGCCATCTAAAATGTTTGTTTTTTTATAAGAAATGTTTTAATGGAAATGGTTTGCTTGATCCAAACAGATGATATTTGTACCGACTTCGATGACGGATGGGACGGTTGGACTCACTTGTACCCCAGTTATAATGATCAATGGCTGCGATCGTCTGAGGGGATCGATGGATCTGGTCGGGACAATCGCTACTCTGCATCAGGTTCGGTTAATTATAACTTACTATTAATGTCTCCCTTTCATTAATGTTGATTTTTTAAATAATATTATTGCAAATAAAAGTGCAGAACGTGCAAAATATATTTCTATTATGAAACAACATACTGTACCTTAGTAACAACAAATTCCAGGGTGAGTACAAAATAATAATAATAATAATAATAATAATAATAATAATAATAATAATAATAATAATAATAATAATAATAATAATAATAATAAGGATGATGATGATGATTATCATAATAATGAATATTTCATTAGTATTTAGAGCCTTTTTTTTTTATCATAATCGTTATCACCAACACCACTAATCACATTATCATTATTACTGCCATTATTAATGTATTAGGACTAATAATTGTGATAATATGTATTATAAAATTGAAGGTCAAATATAGCTTATAAATAATAATATACCAAAACAGGATGATGTTGATGAGGATAATGATGAAGCAAGAGGAGAAATAGTGGCAAGGGAAGGAAGAGCAGGATATGCAGTATTTGCTAAATGTATTATGATAGTCCTATTTTGTATTGGCTTAGGCCTACTGGCCAATTACATTTCATTCATTACTTTCATGTGCAGCTCCTGTTTTATGGAACACACTGCCTCTTCACATAAACTGCAATAAATGTTACCATTTTCAAAAAGAAACAAAAATCATATATTTTCGGCAAAGAGTTTCCATCACAATAACAGTAATCAACAACGCTGACACTAAAATTATTATCATTATTGAAGAAAAATACATTTTCTAACTTTTTTTAATAATGAGATTAACCATTTTGTGTGCTATGTAATTATACTATTGCCATGCAGCGCCACAGAACATTACTTCATGTGATGGAATTTGGCGCTATATAAGTTACTTCGATTGATTGATTACGTCGCCTGAAGACGCTAAAGTGTTAACTTTACCATTGATAATCATTATTCTAATTTAATTGATAGTCTGTTAACATCAATAACTAGAGCAGCCACTCAGAAGAGTAAGCTAAAAAAAATGTTTCAATTATAATACTTTAAAATAATTAAATTGGAAACCCCCCCCCCCCACCAAAAAAAAAAAAAAACAGTCAAAACGCGACAAAAGTACAAATTTTAACATTAAAAAATGTAGGTGAGAAGAAAAATAAACATTGATGTTGAATAATTACAAAAAAAATTAGTAAAAAACTGGGATACAAATCTAAAGAAAAATCATTATTTCAATTTCAAATATGTTTTTTAATCCATTTATCAAAATTCTTAGCATCATACACAACAATAAATGGAAAAGATATCGAAAGCAAGCATGAGCTTTAAGCATGAACCCTAACAAAACAGAACAAAAAACAGGAAAAAAAAATATGAGTAGGCCCTATTTGTATTCATTTATTCGGGTAAACATGCAAAAAACAAAAAACAAAAACAAAAAACAAAACAAACAAACAAAAAAAAAACATACAAGCATCAAAGGCCAAGCACATAGGCCAACATATTATTAACAATCTAAAAACTCACCATTGGTCCCGGGGAAACCTGGGCGTCACAGAACACCACCGAGGGTAGTCCCAACCAACAGTGGGCTACAAATATACATTAACAAAGTTCATATCATCAAGTTAAATTCGTTAGGCAGAAACCGGCTGTCATTTGAAAAAGGTTTAAAGATAGTCAAGGTCTAAGCAGATGTGATTTCAGACGATTAAAAAAAAAACCCGAAAAATTCGACTTGCTTTTCTACTTTTTCAGACGATTATTACATTTATGTTGAATCGTCTACTGGGAACCGGTATGGATATCTTGAAAGTCCAAGCACACCACCAACTTGGAGTAAAGCGTGTCTTCAATTTTACTATTATATGAGTGGAAATTCAAAACAATACTTAGGAATAATTCATTATTATAACGATAGTGATCATTCACCCCTGCTTTGGAATTACGACGACTTCAGCATCCAATGGAAGCATGCCAGCGTAAGTTATGATACCAAAGACGGTTTTAACTTGGTGTTTAAAGGAAAATCTCACCAAGGAATGGTAGCTGTCGATGATATTCATATCAGTGACGGAAACTGTCCGGATATTGTAGGTGAGATTTTAGTGTTTTACAATCAACAACATTGATTAGAGACCCTTTTACATAATTGCCTACACAAGATGAAAAGCATTCCTCTAAAGCCGAGGATAGAGAAAATTTTTGTTATTATTATAAAAATTTTTATTGGCTTTTCTCAGCAGTAGATGGAAAATTCATTGCTTTTTGTTCTGATTTTTTCCCAGCAGTAGCTGGAAAAGCCATTGTTTTTGTTATGGTTTTTTAATTTTTTATTTATTTATTTATTTTATTTTATTTATTCATTCTAAAGTAATTATAAGTAAAAACATTCAAGGATAAAAACACAGAAAAGTACAAAAAGCAACTTATTTCCACTGTGGTCCCTATAAATATATGTAATATGAGGATAAATTCGTCAGTTTAAATGAATACTGAATATAAGTACATATGGGTACAAATAATCCAAATTTACATAATTTTACTTGTCATGAAATGCTTAGGATAAATGATTTCTTACATACTTTTTCCTTACCGTTCTGCACTGGGTTATTCCATCCGGAACTTTGGTCAATTTCAATGGTTGGCTCTTTTACAAACTTTGTCAAAGCATAGACTATTATATCAAGGATGTGCCTCATAATATTTTTATTGTCAATCTAAAGTGGGGTGTGGATGTGTGGACCAATTAAAGGGATTTAAGCACCAAGTATTTCACTGGTCAACTGATCTGAATAAAACCATACGTTTGGGAATGTTTAACCCTGTTACAAGGAAGAAATTATAACTTTTTGTGACGATCCAGTTTAGGCTGTACATTTGATGGTCATTTAAATGTCCCCAACCTTAATATTTTCAAAAATTATCAATGGATCTAAATGAAAATTTCCATAATAGTTTATCATGGTCCAATGAAGAAATACTATTTGTGACGATCCGGCGTAGGGTGTAAATGAGAACCATCCAAAGGAAAACGTCCCAGATCAAATATTTCAAAACTGATCAACTGATCTAAATGAAATTTTCGTCAAAGTTTAACCAAGTTACAGGATAGACATTATTTAATTGTGGTGGCGATCCAGATTCGGGTGTGAATGGTCATTTAAAGTACTAAAATCCCAGACCTTACTATCTCAATATTTATCAGTGGATCAGTGGACCGATCGGGCGTTCTCACGCAAGTGCTAACGGTTAGCTCCCGATCCGGATACTAGGGCTCTCGTGAGAACCAGGCTAATAATTTAATGTTAACCCTTGTTCTCACGAGAGCCCTAGTATCCGGATCGGGAGCTAACCGTTAGCGCTAACCGTTAGCACTAACCGTTAGCGCTAACCGTTAGTGCTAACCGTTAGCGCTAACCGTTAACACCTGTGTGAGAACGCCCGATCGATTATCGCTAACCGTTAAGGCCAACTCAGACAGCGTCGGCCGACGCAGCCCGACCCGATTTATCGTCGGGGACAGTCTTAAGCCGTCGTGAGAAATATTATACACGTTTAATATTCTACTACGCGACTGCCCCCGACGCACACCATCGCGTCTGCGTTCAACTCACACAGACCCGACGCGACAACAAATCGCGTCGGGCTGCGTCGGCCGACGCTGTCTGAGTTGGCCTTTA